TGTGGGTAATTCCTTCAAAGATTTATTGGAGTGTTCATTTATAACCTGAATTTCCTTTTAAATTTGGTGGAGAAATTGTAAAGAATAATTTCTTGAATTGAGCCCAAAGATTTAAGTTTTTTAATTTCTAATTTAGTCAAATACGTTTACATTTCTCCACTGACATTTCAGATTTTTGATTTTTATTTTTATTTGCATTTGAAATCATAATTTCGATCCCCATATAAATAATATTGCTTACAACTACTTTGTGAATAGTTTTTTGTCAATAGGAAAGAAAAAGGAATTCGAATTTAAACCAATCTGAATCGAATCTATATTTGAAAAAAATTTGTTCAGTTCTATGCATAGAAAAAAATGGGTGGAGCAGATTTACAAAAGAGATTAGTCAAAAGGATTCGCGAAGTCTCACCTCGTCAAAGAAAACAACAATATACGCAATGCAGCGACATGATGAATGTACCTACGACAGCTGGCATCAGTACAGATTGCACTCCTCAGCGTATTAGGTCGTGTCATCACCGCCATCATCATCATCATTATCGTCGCGAGCATTTCTGTCGTTGTATCGATTCATTAAATTCGTCGCTGCAACAGCCGCTAGTCGCTGGCGCTTGACGCAGGCAACAGCTGTGGCAAAATGATAGTAGTAGCATCGTGTCCTGTGCTTTCTCCTCCATCCCTCCCTTTTCCCCTCCCACCCTTTCTCGAACTCTATATTTTCGCTTGGTTTGCTCTTTCTTGAAAAGCATTTGTTGGATAGATGTACGAACGAATTGAATGGTAGATAGATCTGCATCTGCATCTCACTTCATCTCATCTTACCTTCATTTAACTTATGAAAGATACTCCTATCTGCTTACTTCATGTTTCATCCTTTGACCCCGCCTTATATTTCTTTTCAGTAATTTTATACATCGCATTTTTTGACTACCTAAAAAAATCATGTTTATCTTTCATGATGAGGTTCTCCTTGATTTATGGTTCTATTATTTCGATTGCCGACTGGTTACTGCACATTCAAACATTGAACACGAAAGCATGAATTGAATGATTATGGAATGAATATGCTGAAGTGTTGTACTGGATGTTACAGAGTTTAACACGTAAATTGAGTTAATTTTTAGATCAAATGGTGAAAATGTGGAATGATGATTCGCGCCTCATTTTAATTGAGGAAGTGCGAAAACGTCGCGAAGTTTGGGAGTATAAAAAGGTTTATTTTTTCAATACATTTCTTTTTTACTATTTTATTTGAGTTATTTTCCATTCTGTGTATTTAAAAAAAAGGAAAGGATAAAATTGATAAAAATAAAATTTGCATGTGTTTGCACCGGTTTTCTTTTTATCTATCCGTTCGTTTTGATTATTTTCTTTCTCATGGTCCGACGATTCGCAACCTTTTTGCTCTAATAGTTTAAAAAAAATTTTTTTAAATTTCAAACCATTGCCCTACATCAATAATGGATATTTGATATATCTACAGTAATTAGTCACTGTACTTTGATATTTCTGCAAATATTAATAGTTAAATAAAGTTAATAGCAGCATTTAATTTAAATTTGAAGTGTGGGACTGACTATTGAATAGTGAAATAAATACAGAAAACATTTACTTTTATGAATACATTCGAATTGAATTGTCTCATGAGTTTCTGTTCTTTTTTAACTATCGATTTAAATGCTTTAACATTGCTATTGGTTACAAATCGAAATACGTACCAAATAGTGGATGTAATTCGCACTGTCCATTATACATACATCTATGAAATTCATTTAGATCTTCAAAAAAAAATTTCCCAGCCATAATTTTAACTGCACTTTTCGAAAAAAAATTTTTTCCTAACAATCACAATTTATCGAGGAACACTTTTCTCGCGTTATTTTATGAAAAGAATTGAGTTATAGGAGCGTTATGCGACGTCGGAAAGGAAGAAAGAGTTGTTTGCAGAAGTCGCAGGTGCACTTAATGCTTCCGGTTTAGTAACAGCCGGCCTATACACAGGTCCTTTGCACTCTGCTTTTTCCTTTATTTGCAAATGTCATGCCTTAAAGACTTGTTCGATTATTCATAGAATTGAATCTTTCGAAAGTATTTTATGCATATGTTTGTGTGAATTGTCAGGAATGATTGCATTGATATTTGCAATAGTTCCAATTTAGTGCTAACTTGGATGTTATTTGTTGAAAATGTATAGATATTGCAGCTGTTTGCTACTGCAAAACTCTCTGTATTAAACATTTTATTGTTAAATAGTTTCTTTTCTAAAACTCTCGTTTTTCAGAAGAAGATGTTCGTACACAATGGAAAAATTTGAAGGATACATTCAAAAGGAAACTTAAAAGGCGCCAAGCAGAAGCCAATGCAGGCTATGAAGACGTGGAACCAACTTGGCGATTCTGGAGCAAAATGCAATTCGTTAAAAATAATTTCGGTCCAGATCGAAATCGGTCTTCTGCATTGAATAGGTAATTCAGTTTTATTAAATTATTCTTTTCAGAGAGTAGACTCGGTCGAAAATTTTAGAAGTAAATAGATTTTAAAGACAAAAAAAGGAAGAAAGAAGGTATCGTTAAAGTTTACCAGTTATTTTATTAGGTTACAAAAATTTTGAAGAAATCAAATAAGAATTTTGTACTGCAGCACAGTTTTGGTAGAAAGCACACCGAATACACTGGAAAAATTGATTAGTTCGCTTGTCGAGAAACAAATGTCTGATGACAGCAACAACAGCATAGAGTATGGTTTCACTTTTTGTATTCAAAAATGTTATGCTCATTAATTGTGTGATAAAAGAAAACGTCGGGTTCTACAAAATTTTGCTGGCTAATATTGAAAATAATATTGGTCCAGTTATTTTTGTTTTGGAACTCTTTGAAAAATTAGTGTGGCATTACATGTTACTTTTCATCCATTAATTTGAAGCATGCCTACAGAGATTTTTTTTCGTTGTTTCTTTGTTTTTCGACTTTTAGAATAAAATTAGTTTTTTGAATATTCATCATTGCTCAACTAATGGTATGCTTTTACAGTGGACAGATACTGAATGTAACAGAACTTCCAGCAGTCGCATCGACTTCCCTTCCCATTCCTTCTGCAAACAGCAATAGCAATAGCAGTTGTAACAAAAGCACTCTTAATAATGCAAACACTATTATACCTGATATTCAAGTCACACCGACTGCAACGCCTACAATTGAAATGCATATTGCTCAATTTGTTCCACCTAACATCAATTATTTGGAGGTATATTATAGTATAGCTTTTTCGTTTTAATTTCATAAACAAAGTTGATCATTTTAATGCATTGTTATCTATAGTCGTTGTACAATAATATGAAGTAACAATGTATTGCAACAAGAATTTTTTCTCCAAAACTAGAAAGATATTTATTAGATATATATAATGTAGAAAAAAATGTGGACAATTTTTTGAATGAATCAAATTTTTTGCTGATAATTATTCATTCAGCCGTCAATATTTTTACATATTATGTAGACATTGATTTTGTTGTGTAAAGACATAAACATATGGCCACTAAATTATTGAGTACAGTACCAACCATTTATTGTAGGGTATAGCATCTCATTCACCGCTATCGCAACATCTCGGATTTGACTCAAACAAATTGAGATCGCCTTCGCCGGTTAATCCAGAAATACATCCTTGTGCAAGTGCTCTAGCTGATCTTCAGAAAAAAGCAATGAAAAGGAAGGCATCGGAAGCAAGCAACGAAGATCTGCAAAATGTGCAGGAGCCAGACGATGAATGCGCCTGGTTTGGTAAGTTTCATTAAATTGCTGCGTATATTGTTTATTGTGTATAAGAGATTTTCATTGTAAGGTACTGATTTATTCTACAGGTTGTATATTTTATCAAACTTATATTTATATATAATTTTAGTATATATACTGGAATGCTAAAAATTTCTTTTACAAAAATTTTAGGTCGAAGTGTATCAAGTGCGTTACGCCGACTTTGCTTGACATCACCTCTTTCGGCACTTACTCTCAAAAAACAGATCTCGGATTTGATATATGAAGCAGAGATCAAGCAATTAATACGTCATCGGAGGACAGGACATTCATAAAATTCTGTATCTGACACTTAAATTGAAAAAGCATCTACGAAAAGTCTTAGTTCTCGGAATAATACTGAATATAGCATGGATGAAAGTATTGGAGATTGTTAATCATAGCTGATCTTCTCAAATGGTATAGTCTAGCAATTCTCCTGAATAAAGACTTGTGCACTGAGAAATGAGTGTTGGCACTCCGTATTTAGTATTCAGCGATATTTTTTATTTTTTTAAAATTTCCTTCTTACAGATATAAAATGGTAATTTATGCGGCCTTTTTGCCTTTGATTATGCATATTTGTTTAAAAATGACAAAAGAGCTTAATTGTACTTTCTAAAATGATAATCTTTTGAGTTTTTTATTAAAATTCAGTTTATGATTGTTATATTATGTATAACAGTTTCCTAAGACCTCAATGAAGAAGTTGGAAAAAATTGCAAGAAAAAATCTCTTGAAAATAATATGGTTAGTCGCTTTTATGGAAGCATTTCTGTGAATAATTTGCGGGTAATATTATATGTTATTTCTATTGCTGTATAAGAACCCCTATACAGCTCTACCAGTTGTTTATTGAAATAAAATTTTTGTTTAAATTTTAACAAATATGTAATGCAGTCAGATGGTATCATGAATGTCTTGACGTTTTCAAATGACGATAGTTTTAAGAGTTCTTGGTTGCAAGTTAGTTTAATACGAATTAACCAATTTCATTTCGTTTTTATCGTGAAATTTCATATTAACTCAAATTTTTATATTCCAAAAACTTTTTCATCAACTGTGGAAGTTTTTACCTCTTGCAAGATGGAATTAAGAAAGTTTTTAACCCCATCTTACAAGCGCTAACTGCGTTATTAGCAGGGATATCTAGAATGCATATTTCACCACTTCGATTTCATTAATTTTCCTCCTAAACATTATTATATTTGGGTCATCACGCTTGGTTTAGCTTGGCTCAAAACTCGTAGTCTGATTATTTGATCCTGCACTCACGGACAATCGTTCTCACTTCTCGACTACCAGCATATTTGATAACTCCAATCTTTATAAATTCAGTCATTGCTATGAATTCTCATTATCCTATTTCTTTTATTAATCTCCAGCTTTATTACTGCACTTCTGTCTTTTGGTAAATTATTTGAATTAAGCAATAATAGAAATTATCTTTTAAAGTAACTTATTTCAAGGAAGGATTTTATGATTTGCACTAACTGAGTTTAGCTTAGCTAAATCTTGAGAAAACCAATCTGAGTAACCATTTCATGGAATGTTAACTGACTGAGCGATTCATTATGGTCAGGATCTCTAACTTTTTCTTTACTATCTTTGGCGATCAAATGACATTGATATTGGCATGTCTGTTAGTAAATATGAAGTGATAAATATCAGTTTAGATCAGTAACGAAGTAGGAAAATGAAAAACAAACCAAAAAGGATTTATTAACACCACTGAAAAGTTTGCATAAGCTTGATCTACAGATAATAAAAAAAACTATGTAGAAATGATTGTTCCGATTAGCGTTTCAGTGAATTTCTGACATACTTTATTCATAAATTTAATTTTTATTTTTAATTTCAAGAGAAGGAAATGAACGTTAGAAGGTCAATTCAATGTTTATTTTGTTTGAGCATAAAAGAAATGGCCTATTCGAGAAATAAAATGTCTGAGCGGTTTTGTATGCCAAACTTTCCCTCTTATCACTCAATTTAGACTGATTTCTTCATTCCCGAAATTCATAACTACTTACTTTTTTAATTATTGAAAAGAATAACATAATATATTGCTGTGGAAAAAAATATTATTTTAGTAAGCAATAATCTATCAGAAAAGAGAAAGATAGAAGAGAGAATATTTTTTTAAAAAAAAAAAAATTACATTTATGAAGAAAGTAAATTCTGGCTATAATAATTTCTTTCTTGGAGAAATGTCATATACTTGTCATAACACGTATATGACATTTCTCCAATTTTTTTTTATTGTTTAAATTACAGTTTGATCTTTTACCACTTAACAAATATTGGCACTAATATTCATCCCAATTTTATTATCTTTTTGTAGCTCTAATTTATTATTTAAAAAGTATTTGTCCATTCTGGACAAATAGAAATTATCATATTTCCCACGGTAATGAATTTTGAAGATTATATTAATTGCTGAATGATAATTGAGATATTTGTCAATTTTTTTCCTTCTCATATTTCATTTTTCAAAATTCTATTTATAAAGGAAGTGAAGTTTTATTCGCGCAAAAATTCCAAAAAGAACTTATGGAAAAAAAGTTTTAAATCTTTTCTGACTAAGTTTAGTTTTTATAAAACGTCTGTTTCTGGTTCCTTTATCTTGGAAAATATTCCAGAATAACAAGATATGTTTTTTTTGATATTATTTTTAGCACAATTAACTTTTTTATTTGTTTTCACAGTTTCTGCTTGATAAACTAATATAAAAATGAAAATATCCAACTTAATGGCACCATTTATGGTACCATATTTACCTTAAACTCTGTTTTTCAACTTAATTTTCACACAGAAATCATTATACATAAATTGTCACATTTTAAATCCCGTCAGTTATTTTCTTCAGCTTAGGGGTTTCATGAAAATGCTTACATTTTACTCTTTTAATCTAATGTAAAATTCAATCCGATTTTTCGTTCTATTCTATTCCGTTTATTGGTGTAATAATATAATCGTTAGCGATAAATTGTTCACCAAATTAATTGATAATAAATTTTCCGTAAAAAAAAGTTGCTATGATGCTAACGGAATGCAGACAAATCATTCATTGAAAATCAAATGCAAAAATATAAAACAAAACTTGAAATGAGATTAAAATCATTATAGAATATTCATTTGAGAGATTCATTCTTAAATTTATAGATAAAAGATTTTGTTTTGGCTGTGATTTTGGAAATGTGTTTTCTGTGATTACTGAAACAGACTGAGGCATTTCCTTAGACTGAGACATTTGACCGCGTTGAGATATTTGCACCACACTGAGACGTACTGATAATCAATGTCAAAATGGGTGTCACCAATGGTTGCTATGGAAAGACATCAATTTTTTCTACCTTTCTAATAATTTTACCTATCTTATTTGCATACTTATTAGTACTATCGATTTTCTTTATTGTTTAGGAATTTATATTGTGATGTTTCATCAAATTTTGTTGTTGTTTTTTGTGCCAATTAATAAATTCTCCTAACCATATAATGAAATATTCTGTTTTTGCAAATTATACATATATGTTCAAATTTCAAATTAATTCTAGTTTTCCCATTTTGTGATAAATGGAAGATAAAAAAGATGGAAATGAAAAGGAAGATGGGCAAGAAGAAAAAGAACAGAGTCCTTCTCAGCAGTATGAACTATATGTTATTAGCGATGAGTTAAATGATAAGCTCAAATTATTAAACTATGAAGAGGATTATGCAAATTTAGCTACAAGCTATAGGACTATTTCAAGGTAAAATCCCTTCCATCCCTTAATTATACACTAATTAGATATTTTAATCATTTAGGAATAGATAATTTTCAATGAAATAAATGAATGATTATTGCTTTTCGTCATGAAAATTTGAAATTCATCTTATACTATTATTATATTGGTATTATATAACAGTCCATGTTTTTCTTTTGCTATCACATTTATTATTTATTTCTAATCATTAATTAAGCAAAAAATTATTGTCAACATTTGTTTTTTTTTTTGTTAGCTTATTTGAAATTTGAAATTTTTATAGTTATCAGGTAAATTTGAAATAGTTTTACAGGGAATATTTTGTAAAAAGTACAAATATTGGTGAGCAATTTTTTATTTTCACTACACTTGCTGCATGGCTCATCCAAAAAGCTATCGATTCAACATTTTCATTTCCACATGAGGTTTTTATTCTTCAAATCTTTAATTACTATCAATATTTTCACAATATATTTATTTCAATATAAAAGATTACTTCGATAATATTTCAGTCTGATGATCCAAATGGAACAATTTCAAATATTTTGAATGCATTACAAAGTAAAAATATTCCTATTACTTTTGCACCAAATAAATTAAAAACTGGCGCTGGTGAGCAATGTTTGTATATATTGGACAAACTCGCTGATTTAGCACTTGTTGCCAGTCAATTCTCGTGGATTAAGTAATATTTTTTACTAGTAATATGAATTTGTTTAATTAATTCATTCAAATAATGATATATACTTAATTTTGTTGTTGGAAGGAAGGAAGGCAATTATGAATTGATTTTTTATTCGACTAAATCCTTATTGATTTTAGAGCAGATCCAATACCGGAAAACGATGAAGAAATGGATGTAGCAGTTGATCAAGCTGAAATTACTGCTGAAGAGGTGAAAAAAATGTTTTTATTGTAACATAAATATACTATATTATATTTAATTAAAATTTGCTAACAGTTAACATATAATATTTGCTCTTCTTCAAAACATATATCTCAATTTCGTCCCATTTAAACTGAAGAATTTGAAGTTTAAAATTTGCTCAAAGCAGGTGTAAATTATTGAATAATTGCAAGGAAATTGTAGTTTGATGAAGACGAACAAATCGATGTTGCTGATGATGATGATAATGAAATTGTAATGGATCTAGATGTGATGCCATCTTCAAGAACCACTGATGAAAAAATGTTAAGTTTCATTTAATTTTATCTTGGAAAATGCAACACTTATCAGCATCCTAGTAATGTGACGTTTCTTTTCTAATATTAAATTTAACTATGAAATTCCACATTTCAAAATTTTCAAATTTTAGCAACAACCTTTAGATGGTATCCTTCATAGCAAAACAGATGTGAATTCGTGGAAACTTGAAGTTGAACGAGTAGCACCACGTCTTAAAGTTACCTTTGAGCAGGATTCAAAGGTATGCTATAAGTTTAATCTTCAACATATTGATTAAAACCATTTGTAAAAAAAATAATTTCAACAGCAAACATTCCAAATAACATTCAAATGTCTAACGAAGTATGGAGAAAATGAATGAAATTGTTGATTTATTTAGGACTGGAGAATGCATTTGGAACGAATACGATCCTTACAGAAAACAGTCGTGGAACTGTTAAGTACGACAGAACCGCATTTAAAGAGTATTTCTAATGAAATTGATAAAACAATGGAACGAATTGGTAACAGGTGACACACGATCTATTTATATATTTGTATAATTTTTATAAATTTCTCTTGAAATCAAAATTTCCTTTGCAGGGAGAAACATTTCAATAGCCAGCTGGAATCCGTATTGACAAAATTTTGCCTTGCTAAAGAAAGATTGAATGAAGCAAAAAAAAAATACAAGTAATATTTGAATCACATTTAGAATTCTGTTAAACTCTTGATGACATAAATTTTAATATTAATTTTATAATAAAATGCGTTTGTTTATTTGGATAGGGAAATTAGTGGTGGTATTACGGAACGTACCCAAAAACTGCAACATGTCAGTGATGAATTGGAACAAATTAAACAACAAATTGACGAAAGAAGTTTTCGAAATAGTGATGAAGGTAATTTAATTTATTTCTTACCCGTAAACATAGTTATTTAACATTAAGTAAATAAAACTTATACCCTTAATATTGATTAATATTTAATGGGGAGCTTTTTTTTCGTATTTATTTTCATTCATTTCTATTAATATCACTGAACGGATATTGAATATTTATCGCGATCACAATGTCTTGATGGCCTTGAAGCATCGTGATTGATATTTCTCGAAGCTTCAAATGAAGACATTACGAATGAAAAAAGCTAACTGCATAGATCATGCCAACTAATGCTGATTGATTTCTAAATTCTGAGACGTCTAGAGAAATGCTTGGAATCCATATTTTGATATCCTTTTTAAAAACATATTTTCTTCCGATTTATGGAATAATTGCAGCTCCGTTGCTGAGATTAAAGCAAGCTTTACAAAAGATGGAGTCAGATATTCTCACAATGAATGTTCAGATTAGCGTCATCGAACAATCTCTCCTACAAAGTCAACTCAAAAATCGGACCGCATATAATGCTTACTTTCAGGATTTGCATATTTAGTTGTGGAAATATCTTCCTGTAAATTCAAATCTATGTGGATATCGTTTGAAATGCCTTTGATATGAAACAAAAATTAGGATAGAATGTCAACAAAATGAAGTTCGGAAGATGATTTCATTTTCAATTACATTGCTTTTTAAACATTTTTCTTCATTTTGCGTTATAAGATTGAATAATGAATTCAATTAGAGAAATATTCGGCATGGAATGTTAGTTTCCTTGTTTTACTGATAAATTATTAAATTGGGCCAAATTACTCTGTATAAAATGTATGTGGTACAAAACCTCGCATATCATCCCAACTTTTCCGAAAAATTTCCATTCGTTTTTGAAACAAAAATTGATATAGTGGTGCACTTGATCCATCCGTGATCAGAGAGTCGTTAGGCAAGTGAAATTACAAAAATGATTATATCCACGGCTCGCTTGATGGTTCGTTATACATATCATTTAGATTATCATAAACGTTAAATGACTGATTTTATGAAAAGAAAATTTTGAAGATTATTTGATGATCGGAAAGCTTAATACGAACGAAAATAGGAATTCGCAACTGCAAAACTTTTTGTGCCAATAATTCCACTTCTTTTTTCACTTCTATCTCCGCAGCATCCTTAATATTACTGTTAAATGACAATTTCTTCAGTGTAAACAAGAATTTGATATGTACAGCAAAAATTCAGGATACAGCTTCATTAATATAAACTAATGTATAATTATATGTATGGATTGATCACTTGATTTGTTGAATGCTTTATAAAACTGTAGTTTTAAAAAAACTGTAGTTTTAACATTCAGTCATTCTGGATAAATAATTCGAATGAAAACCTTAAAATGATTCTGTTAAAAGGTAATTCAGTATTTCCAGAAAAAATTCAGAAAAAGGATATACCATCACATGACCCATAATTTGACATTAAATAGTAACCAAAAACGCCCTAGCTCGACAAAATCCAGAGTTTCTTTCAAAATTGCTTTCTAATAACACTCACAAGCACAACTGAGGACGGATCTCATCACACCACCTGTTATAGATTTTTTATTTTTGTTTGAAGATGAAGATTCTTAAACTAATGTATAATTAATTTAAATTATGTCGTAAAAAAACTTATCGCAAATTTAAATTATAGGGAGTATTATTAGCGATAATTAAGATGGAGAAGAGGTAGCGGAAAGGGAAGAGAAAAACAATTTTAAGTAAAAAAAAAACCATGAAATGTTAGGCAGATAACAAAGCACGAGTTTATTAACCAGAGATGTAATCAACTTATACAAAATGCTTCTTTACTCGCATAAACATCAGCAAGCATCTCTCGTACAAGCAATTCCATAAATAGATGTAAAAAAAATCTTCCGGAGCCATCAATAAGGACTTAAAAAATTCCTGATCATAAATTTCTTTAACAAAAATGCGACGAATATTTCCACCTGCATCGATTGTCGCTGCTTACAAAGTAAGTTGAATTTCTTTGTTAACTATAGAATCGAGGTTTTCGCAGTTTATATTTCCACAATTGCTTTCTTCCCCCAGAGAATTCTTCCAAGAATAGCATTTTCAAACATTTAAATCATAGCATTCAGGAAAAAGGAACACAACTGATATCCTCTTTTTTAACATTCAGTTTAAACTGATCATAAACTTCATCATGGCATGACTGCTGTGAATGTTTCGGTATCAGCAACATTAAATAGCTTACTTTAACCTTAAGAATGGTATTTACTGAATAACACCATAGTATCGTCGATTATATTATCACTGTTTATTTTGTGATAGCAATGTTAACCAACTTACTGATTTTAAAAATGCTAACAAAGTGTAGTAAGCAAAAGCCATGCTATTTATTTTATTCGAACTATAAAAATCGTCCAAGTCATAAAAAGAATTAATAATGAGAAGATATTCTTTGAATAAAATTTCGTTCAATCTAAAATTCTATTTAAAATTCGAATTTACATAATATCTTACAGACCTTTAGAGCTTTAGAACTTGAAAACCTATGTATTACATTTCGATTTTGAATATGAAAGTTATCCAATATCATTGGTTTTCATCACGAATTAGGTAAAAAAAATCATTAGATCCCGCCAAACTGAACTTGGGAATCAAAATAATATGGCTTCCTTAATTTTATCTTACCTATGATTCCGAAAAAAATCTGTTTTTTCTTCTCAGCAAATACATACGTTGGATAAAAGATACTGACAAATCTAAAAATCGAACATTTCATAACTTTTAAATCTACTGCATGAATTCTAAACTATGAGGAAAAGTAGTATTACCAGGAAAAGCATTCAACCCCAACATGGAAATATTTCAAAATTAATGATTGATATTTGTTCCAGGATAAAACGCAAATGCCCAATTCGCAAGGATATTTGATGCCGAAGAAGCAAATAATGGCGGTGAAGTACGCCCAAATGTACTGATCGTTTGTCCAAAAGCCGGATATCTGCAAGTATTAAATGAAATTTTCACTTAAAAAGAAACATGAGGAAAAAGCAGATTATGAAAGTAAGTACACTACTTGCAATATATCTTTGCCTTGCAGTAATAAAGTATTGAATGAGTTCTATACTAAAATAAAACTTGCACATAAACCTTGCTCTGGAATTAACAGAGATACTCTCTGTTAAAAATGCGGATAATTCATTGCCAGAAGGCTCTGAATCGAATTGCAGAGGCGTCAATCGATGGGATGATGTACTGCTAGCCACAATACCCTCTTGTTGCTGCGCATTAATTGCCCGATTTCCATATTTAATCATTGTTCGAATGAAGCGAAGCAAGCATAAATGCAAAACATATTGTAAACCAAGTACTCCAACACCCTGAAATGGAAGACCACCTTAAATGAAATTAATGATTTGCAACTGAAGTTTGAAAGAAAAAGCTAAAATTAGATAACGAGAATATTTCACAACCACTTAAAAGTAATGTATTGAAACTAGATCAAAAATACATCTGTATAAAAAGCAAGCCATAAAAATTTTAAAATATTAATATCCAGAATAGATCTCAGTTTATGAGCTAAATTCAAAGTCAACAACTTAAAGATAAAGTTTTAAATAATAATAAAGTTAGAAACAACAACAGAAGAAGTATTTCAAGTTGAACACACCGCATAAAGAGACCAAAAGCTTTCTCGATTTATGATTGTCCTGAAACAATCAAAAAATCCAACATATTTTCCTGTTATTGAGATAGCTGTGACACCACTATCGAGATTATCTATTAATGTTCTTGTTCCTGAAATTTTAGCTTCAACGGTTTCCAGAATTTAATTTAAAAACAATAAATTTAGATCCCGAACGTTTTTTGAAATCATTTCTTAAAACTTTTTAAAAGGTCAAAATCTTACCCTGAATATAAAGGCGATGAATTACTGTTTCGAAAGGATACAAGGCAAAATCAGCAAGCATTTGCGATGTCAAAGTTGCAAATATCTGCGGAAAATATTGATCAAAAACAGTTTTCTCATATAACGGTTTCCGATTCTAAAATAATTTGCAATGAAATAATATTCAATATATTTTGATATTCTAGTCTTTTTTCTAAATTTCTAAACTAGAGGATAACAGTTGAACTCAATCCTTGCACCAAATGAAATGTTAGAAGAATTCGAAGCACAGAATGAGCTTACAACATATCGTCTCGCTAAAAGATATATCCAGTCATGGATACTGATCGTTATCAAATAGTGCGATGTAAATAAACAAGTTGTCGGTATTAAAAGATATAACAATGAGAAACGTTTACTGCTATCTCTTGGCCCGATAAAATCAAGTCGCAAACGACTTATCCCGTTTGTTACTACATCCATTGCATGGAAGTCATCGCAACGACCACTTTCACTCTAAATAAAGATCCTTTTTTAACAACACGATTTTACTGGTTTTAATCAAGTAATCCAAAAAATAATTTCTACCATCTATCATATAAACTAAAGTAGAAATGAAAATTCATCCAATCTTGCCGTCAAAATTACAGAAGTCGAAAAAAACCTGAATTGCGCAACATGTTAAAACAATGCTAACACAGAATCTTTTCTTGCAAAATTTTGAAAATAATGCAAGGTTCACAAGTCATATCCCTCATTCTCATCAACTAAATTCGTAATCAAAAGATTTTACAAACTGTCCCTACTGAAATTAATTAAAATTAATTTATTTACTCTGACAGTTTCGATGAAAGCTGACACAATAAATGGGGTCATGCAAACTGCAGTTGAGCTGAAAAAAATATGTATCATTTCAAATATCATCCCAAAACCAAAGCTGATAATAAAGTCTCAGATAGAGTACTTACGCTTTTAATATAAGATGGCGGCAGTATTTCTTAACGCTTCCATGCTTTACGTAATGCCTGAAATTACCCGAAATTTTACTGGACAACCAATATCAGGAATAAATATTGAAAAGTAAATCTCACAACTTTACAATATTTATTGAGATAAAAAGCATACCGTGGAAGACCAAATATATTGGCGAGCAATATTTCTCCAGCAACAGATAAACCCCAGAGAACACCTGAACCAATAGCACCTTTCCATAAAGTCAAAAGTCCCTGCATTTGCAGCGTTCGACATTCAAATTGATATTTTTATCCGACATTCAAATTTAGTAAATTTAAGTAAAAATGCGTCAATGCTTCTATTTGTTAGAAAATAAAAATAGCACTACAACACTATTAAATGCTACCACTATCAATACATATTATGAGAACGTTCAAGAAGTAAATAATGTATTTCACTAACCTCGCAGCTAACTATTTTATAAACGACAGGAATTAAAGTAAAGGGTGTAAGATGAAGTGATTTGGCAAACTGATGAACTTGACACTGCCGCCTCAAAACTGTACATGGATGACTTATAAGTATTTTTGCAACCAAACTGAAATAAATTCTTAGTGTAAAAAATATTAATAATAAAAAATGTTAATAGGAAAGGTCTTCAAACTTATTCCGATGAAGATAACCAACTCGGTGATGTCAATAAATGCGCTAGCCATCGGATCATACGGTTTTCGAGGCGATGATGCGTTTTCATTAGCTGGTCTGGAGGGTGTTGTTGGTGTAAAACCAGGTCCAAAAGCAGTCGTTGAGAACGAATTTATGGACTGATCATCTTCAAAAGGACCAGGCAATGGTGCTGAATTAATTTAAAAATGTAAATTCCTCTACTGGAAATTCAAAAATGTTGCTTTAAAACACAAAATTGTAAAATTCAGAATTCGAAATAATTCAATTTGATAAATTGAATGTTGCGGACTTACCGCAACCAAAAAAATTATAAATAAAGATAGAAATTAATGGAATGATTTGTAATGGCTATCTATGCATTAAAATTCAATTTATTTAGGCTAAAACTTTTTATATTAGTCACGGCTTTGATCTCAAAAATCAAAAACCAATTCTGTATTCGTCGATGTATCAAAATCAGAATTGATCTCTCCTGATAGAATGTTAAAGAAAAAGCAAACCATTCGATCCAAATCTCTGCTGCATTACAGTGGCATTTGTTGGTTGCACATCTCGAAAACAATTAACTGACATTTCACCTCGTTACGAGAACAACTTTCAATACGCAACTTCTGTCACGTTTTGAATTGTTTCTTAACAATAATCTTCAAGTATAAAATGAAATATGTCAAAATTCGGGAATACCGGCATGAATACGACTTTTGATTTTTTGGCTGAACGATTTTTACGACTTTTGATTTTGAATAAGATTTTTGATCTTTTTTTTAGCTGAATACGATAATCTGTTATTTGCAATAGTTATTCCTCACTAGTTAAAATCAGTTCAGTTCAATTCAGTATACCTAATTGGGATAGGAATTAGTCAAGTAATCTGTAAAGATTTACTAGTAAGATTACTCTTTACAATCAACTCCTATAATTACGCCTCAATTTCTCGCTTACATCTGTTTTCGGACGAGTCACACAATTCGCAATTTGATGGACGGACAATGGAAAGAGATGAGAAAAGACGATCGACATTACATTAGCATTGACTGATTATTTTGGGATTGGTTGCCCTTCTTAATCACGTATGCTTCTCCACGTTATTATCACGTATGATGGAGAGTTAAATTTATCACTCATTTACTTTAGATATGATACGTTTGGAGCGTCGCCTTATTGATATGATAAATCGACTACGATGTAAAGTTCATGAAAGAGGATGTGCGCAGTTAAGAGCATCATTAATTCGTACTTCGTTTCAGAAGGTTTGCTAATTGACAATTCATTATTATTTTTTATATCATAAATTACCTCGGTTAAATAATAAGTGAGATGGTAATGTAGATAACGAAAAATTTATTTGCCGATTAAATTGAACTTTCTTAACTTCGATAATTTTCTTACATTGTTCATTTTGAGTTTATGAACGAACTTAGGATATAATAGTAATCAAATATATTAAAAATGGTTTTGAAGGATGCTATCGTGCAAGAAGTTCCCGTTTCCTCATTGCTGCAAAACGGATCTCAAACGTGGGAATGGAATGTTTTTTTGAAGTCATTACAGTACATTTGCTTTGCAAAGAAAAAGCTCATAGATGACTTATTGGATCAGTGTATGTGTGTTTATAATCATTT